TCCCTATTTTAAAGAAATAAAAACTAAGCCGTTGACTTCTATCAGTCTGTAAAAGTTATAAAGCCATTTTATTTGGCTTTGCAACTACAGGAAACCATGGTGACTTATCCACAAATGAAGAAAACATGGAACAGTTGTCTACCAAGAGGTACAGAACAACATCTAAAACAGTGCAGGCCTCACTTACCTCAGTTAGTGTTCATGATTCAACAGTAACAAAGAAACTTAGAATGAGTTCTGGGGTGAAAATCTCTGCCGACTAAATAGAACAAAATGGTCTGTCTTACATTCACCAAAATACTGCTTGATGATACCCAAGACTCCTGGGAAATATTCTGTGAACTGATGAGGCAGACGTGGGGAATTTTGAAAGGTGTGCGTCCGGCTAGATCTGGTGTGAGACTGACACAAACCGTTAATAAAAAAAAAAAAATAATAATAATAATAAAACACATCTTACAGACAAACATGGTGGTAATAGTATGATAATCTACAGTGGCTGGATTCTGGATTTAAAGCTGGAAAACCTGTTCTAATTGATGGAGCCATTGAATTTTGCTCTCCACCAGAAAAGCCTGAAGAAAAATGTTCAGCCATCAGATCATGACCTTAAACTCAAGCACACTTGGTTTAAGTAGCAGTACAATGATCCATTCACACTAGCAAGTCCACCTCTGAGTGGCTCAAAAATGGCAAAAAAAATGGTTTTGGAGTGACCTAGTCAAAACCTAGACTTAAATCAGATTGAGATGATGTAGCATGACCTTAAACATGTCTTTCAACCATCCAGTGAAAGTAAATTAAAACAAACAAATTGATAGAGGGCTACTACTTTCTCACATTGGACCAGGTTGGTTTGGATAGCTTTTTAACCCCTAAAAAATGAAATGACTGTTTGTAAACTACATTTTGCATTTAATTAGACTATCTATGTTTAATATGCAAAAGTGTTTGATGATCTGAAAAAAAAAAAAAAAAAAAACTGTAACTAAACATGTATGGGGGACACTTCTTTTCCACATCACTCTATATACATATGTATATGTGTGTACAAGATATTACAATAAATAAAAGACATTCCACCCATTGCAATGAATTTATAATTTTTATAATACAGTAGGGCTGAGCATTTCAACTCATATACTGCAACATGAGAAGCATTTCCTTGATGCAAAACGTACAAGGTGTTGCAAAAAAAGTGTGGTACAGAGAAGGTTGGAGATAGACAGACAGAGTGAGAAAGAAAAATTATGCCTTGCGCAAGATGAGAGAAACAGGTTTTCTGCCCTGAGGATAGATGGAAAAGAGGATACAGAAGAATAAAACTGAAAATCGGTTGAAGTGCAGCACTTTGAGGAGTGCTGAGCATAGATAATTATACATTATATATGCTAAAGGAAAAATATTGAGTATGCACTTAGATAGCTATTGAAGAGTGTCAGAGAAGGACATCAAAAGCTTACATATTGAACACAGAGAGAGCCATTCATATTAGGAACCCTTTTCCCACCACCCGTAAAAGGAATTTGTCGCTGCCATTGTGCTCTGTAATGCATTGCAATTAGTAAATGATACATATGGTTGTGACAGACAACTTATACCTCTGACAAATCAGTCTTTTTTGGCCATTGCATTAGAGCACACTTCAGCATACATATACACATTTACAGCATATGCACACAATGCATCCATGCACACTCACACTCACACACACCCACACAAACACGGAAAAGGATGCTGGATAAAACATAGGACACACACAACAGGGAGCCCTTTGGTGGATCTAATTGAAGAGATAAGACATTATCCATTTTTATCCCAGTCAATTTCAGCCCGTAGCCAAATTTAATGCCTGGGAATTCAGAGGTTACAACAACCTCCACACACAGCAAAGCTGTTCCCTTGGAAACAACAGCCAACCAGTCCATAACAACCAGCCTAATAAACTCTTCATCTCTTCCCTCCTCTTTAGCTCTTTTCTTTTATTTATTTATTTATTTATTTGTTTATTTAAATCTTTTCTCTATACAATAATATGGATAATTTTTTATTGTTTTTCTCTTACCAAGCTTGCCATCTCTATACATTATATATATTTAAGGAAAAAACAATTATTGCTAAGTTAGATTGGAAAAAATTATGTAAAGGTTCAGCAAGAGTTAGCTTGTAACACCTTACGACGGTAAAGAAAAAAAAAAAGAAAACGTGCCAAAATATGACAGAATGGATGAGCACTAGCTTCTAGCAATCTAAAAATATCTGAATTGCTCATGAATACTTTATTTGTACTATTAATTTCTCAATTGAACTAAGGATAACATATAAACATTTGAATTTGAGTGCATCTGAATATAGCCTGGCAGTGCACATACTGTATACCCATGACCTCTGCAAGCAAAATGAAATAGGCTGCAGCCAAGTAAGTAAAAGTGAAAAAAGGTATACTGTTGTCTACAGTGTGCAAGATAATTTGTAGTGTTTTTATAATTTTAGTGGGGTATGCACTAATTTGCAGGTGCAAGCACTTAACCACTTCGTAAGAAAGTGCTTGTACTTGAGATTTAAGGAAGCCAGGGTCTATAGGGAGTAAATACACGTGCATCAGCATGACCTTTATGAGACCATTTATTTTTTATTACATATTACTAGAATATACCCGAACTGAAACAATTCCCATAAAATTAGTTGTCAATTTATGTCAGGGGAGTCTTGACAATGACAAATAGCTTTAAAAAGAATAAACTTTGCTTCTTTTCAATTGTTTTATAAGTATGCTAGGAGTCAATCATCAATCCATCCACCCATTTTTTATACCCGCTTCTTCAGTACAGGGTCGCGGGGGAGCTGGTGCCTATCTCCAGCGGACAACGGGCGAGGGGTGAATACACCCTGGACAGGTCACCACTCCATTGCAGAGGAGTCAATCAGCAAACTAGATAAAGGAAATAAAGTAAAGAGTATTCTCCTGAAGATTAGCTACTTTAGGCTTAACAGTTTGGATTGCAGCTACTGTAAAGGCAGAAATATACACCGGGTAAAGTTCACCACTGTTCCACATTTTCAAAGTTTACAGAAATGGCTTCATACCTGTAAAGAACAATTTTTTATCCGTTTTAAAATTATTTCATGAGAGCATTTGGATACCTGATAATGTAATGCCAGATGCTTCTGTCACATTTTAATTCATTTTGCAGAGACCAAAAAGCATTCATCAAAACATTTGAAGCTGAAGACTTGTGGGGATGATTCTATATTTGGTGACAAAATATTTCAGTAAATCCAAAAACACACTCACAAAACATTCAGTTAAATGCTTCTCTTTCCCAGTACAGTTCTGGATATGTGCAACACACTGGAATTGTGGTTTTACAGCATATTCTTTGCAGGTGCTGTTTTACTCTTAAATTCTGTTTAATTTGCCTATGACAGAACACAATTTGTGACAGATTTGCACCGGGCTGAGAATATTCAGTGTGTAAATACCTGCAGAGCTCATTGATCAAATTATGCCCCTTCATTAGAAGCATGAAACCACACCGTCAATTTCATTCATCAATTTCCTCAGATTCCTTCATGTAAAACAGCTTAATTCTCTGCAATCCAATTTATAATGCAATCATTTTCTAGAATAGTACAAAAACTATTCATCATTCCAGAATTTGTATTTGTCATTAAAACTTGCACCAATTCAATCAGGTCCATATAACTAACTATATTATTATATATTTTATATATATTATTTACTACTAGTTTTGTCCAGTTGTATGCACCACAACTTAGTTACTGTAGAAATGTTCAAACAGCAACACTAAAACTGAGCAACAACAGTAAACCTTTGGATGTTGCTCTTTATGGGGTACAACTGGTCCCTTTGGCAGTTTTAGGTAGATAAAGTTGTAGCTCTCATATTTTATGTTGCAAATATTCCATAATAGAACAGATTTTAAAGAAAGCCATTTCAGAATAAGTCATGAAGCATGAGGCAAGGGGGGTTAATTGAAGTGAATCCTGCAGGGTTGAAAAAACAAAGGGGGTCAAATCGACCCTTTGGTGGTTCAAGTGGTTAACAGTTTTTCAGAAATAAATTTTGTTACTGTTAGGTCTTCTATCTCCATTGTTGGGGAATCTTTGTTTTCTTGATTAACCCAACTCTATAAACCAATCTGTCGTTCTACTAAAAAATAGACAGTAAAAAAAAAAAAAGAAGCTTTAAAATGTGACCAAACAATGCATTATGTTGGAGATACGAGGTTTCTGTCCAACAGTGAGCTGAAGATGTCATAGCTCTGTGGTTGATTGCCAATCTCTCCATGTTGTGCACCGGCACTTGCATAGTTGCCAACCCTCCACAACCCTGATCAGGATTAAGCAGGTATAAAAAATGGGTGGATGCATGGATGTATTTATTCATAAAGCCAGGGGTGTTTCAAAGGTCTCTCTCTGTTCTTCTTAATTAGAAGGATGGCTTAAGGGAATCAGCTTAAAGTAAAAAAAATACTACGTTCACTTCGAAATGAAACCAACTACATCTTGTAATTTAGCAGATTAAAACATTTTGTCATTCATCCAAATGGTTTCTTTTCATCTAATGACAGAAAATCTGGTAAGCTTTCATCCTATAGGGATGCTTGCTTTATTGCAGCCTTTACAAATGGCAAATAAAATTGCTCTTAAAAAGATGCGGTTTTTCCTCCAGGAAAGCTTCCCTTGCACAGTAATTTCTGCCCAGTATTGCTACTGCAGAAGTGATGAAATTAGATATATATATTTTTTTCTACCAATGGAGCTTCACAACAAATCTGGAAGACAGTGTCAGCTGACAGCAAAGCAGCCCACTCAGCTCAAATGTATTCAACTTTGTGTTTGCAACTGAAAGAAAATGCCAAGTTCGATAAAGTACATTCACACTGTACAGGAAACACAGTTACCCTTAAAGTACAGGCCATTAAATCATCAATCAATATTTTGCTTATTATTTACATTCTGTGCCTTACAAAGGAGAGTCTGGGTAGCTCAGTCGGTAGAGCATCAGACTATTAATCTGAGGGTCCACGGTCAGGTGTTAGTGCTTTGTTCATTGTGTGAACTGTGATGACTGTACAAGTAAGACTGGGGATCTTTCTGCATGGAGTTTGCATGTTCTCCCCATGTATGCGTGGGTTCTCCCCTTCCTCCCACAGTCCAAAGACATGCCTGTTGGTCTTTGTAAATTGCCCTTAGGTGTGTGCATTGTTGTTTGTGTGTTGGACTTGCAACCTGTCCAGGGTATACCTCACCTCTCGCCCGTAAACTGCTGGAGGTAGGCACCAGCTTCCCTGTGACCCCATATGGAAGAAGCGGTATGGAAAATGACTGAATGAGTCATTTTCCTTCACCTTTTCCACATACCATGGTGCAAACACAAACTGTTCTCTACCAAACCTGACACCTTCAAGGAAGAGCTGGATTCATAATGGGATTAGTTTATACATCGCTGTACTATTTACTAGTTTGTTGAGTTCTGAAAGCAGTTGCTTGCACTGGATTTTATTAAGAGGTGTCAGAGTAATTTTGAAAACCATGCACCCTTTTCCCTCCACATCGATATTATGTGCTATCATGTGTTGGTCTGTACCATCAAAGCCCAATATATACTTTGAACTATGTGATTGCAATGTACCAAAATGGTCAAAGGTTCTGGGGGTAGAAAATCTTCTACAAGACAATGTGTAATTATTGGCTTTTGTTAATATGTGCCAAAACAGTTAAGTAAAATAGCAAAATAAACAACAGGCATACAACTTGATGACAGTTTATTCAAATTGAGAGTAATTATTCCATAGCACAAACTCTGATCAATAGTACATTTAGTGACTTTACTTTCCAACAATTTGGTGAGGTAAATACAAGTTTACCCAAGCAATCACACTGACCTATAATGAGGGCAAAAAGCCATAAAAAATCCATCACCATCATAGCAAATTCTATGATTACTATTGATACTGCTCATCAGGGATCTTATTGCCTCCCTGACAATGATTGGTTCTGTCTGGCGGGGAGGTCCATGTTACAGATTGTATGTGTGTGTGTGTGTGCGTTTAGTGGGGGAGTTGACGGGATTGGGAAGTGTTGGTGAGGTTGTCTTGTGATTAATACTCCTATTTGCTGCTGTCTCTCCTTCCTCAGCATCTTCTTGGCCCAAGGTTAGTTGGAAATGGCTGTGTGTTTCCATAAGATTATTGGAACCATTATACACGGTGGCACAATAGTGGAAGAAAAAATCCATAAGCTCAAGACTGTATTTTTAAGTACCCTTACACTAGATTTGCAGTGTCGTAAAAGGTTAAGTGATGGTAGTCAGGTTCAGAAAGAACCTCTCCCCTCTCGCCAACAATTTAACAGCCAATCTTCATATGAGTTTAAATAGCTAAATATGGACATTAAAGTTTATTAAAAATATAAAGTTTTTCTTCATCTGATTTGTTTTCCTTCTATTAAAAATATATAAAGTTTTTCTTCATCTGATTTGTTTTCCTTCTAGTTTAAAGAGGCAATATGAGACATCTTTAACCACAGAGAATTATTACTGACAATCCTCTCAAAGGTAATTTCTTCACCATTTGTTCGTATTAAACTCTGAAGCAGTGGCTGACAAACAAGGGGAGCAAAAATAAAAACAAGCGCTCCACAACAGTTGCTTTGTATTTCACAATTACTGCAACAACTCCAAAAGCCCAATCTGTCCCCCAGGACTTCATAAGTATTAAATAATCAATTTTGCCTTGGCCTGAATATAAGACTGTAATGGCTCTGTGGATCAAGTCCACTGAGAGCTTCTTACCAGGGTAGTGTCAAATTTTACCATATTTATCCTGCTCTCTAAATGTAGATGTTCTCCCAGGTTTTTGTTTGCATAATAAATGTATTTTTCCTTTACTAATTTGCTTATGTTGTACTCATTGCAAAACATATTTTATTTTCGGTCTCAATCAATGTTTTTTGTTTGTTAATTGAAACAATTTTTCTGTTATTATGCAGTGCTGAAGCATTTTTCTTTTATCAATTTCAGTCTAAAACACCTTGTTAGTTGTATCCTCTTTCAGGCTCAATTTTCATAAGTCAGGGCACTAGCTAATGGTATAATGGATTACGGCCACTTGTACAATGGAGAACCAGTGTTTTCTATTTTCTTCTGTTAACTCATGTGCCTGTTTATTTTTGGGTCTCATTATTGTGCAGATACTTAATGTGTACAGACTTCTTATGTGTAAAATAGAACCCAAAGGAAAATGGAAAAACAAGGATTCATGTTTATCTTTAAGCCTACTGTCCACTGACAGATATATATTCTTTTGCAGTATCGCATAGAAAAATAATCCCTTTTTAAGTGGATCCAAGTAAAGTGAGTTTTATGATATAAACAATTTTACTTTCTGTGTCACCGGATGAGAATTAACACATATGACTCTGCCTCTTTAAACTGACTCAATAGAGGGTCTATACTGTATATATATA